ATTGGAGTGGTCGAAGGAAACCCTTTGTCCAGGGGTGGACACACACACACATCGTACACCATGAAACTATGAGCGAGCAAAAAGAAGCAGCTTCATGGTTCATCTTGACTTGGTGGCGTGACGATGCGTGACGTAAGCTTGAATAAGCTGGTGGCCGCCCCAACCCAAAAGACATGTGTGAAGCAGTCGGAAGCCGTCGCGAAGCGTCGCGCGTCACTTCGCCGACGGGTTGGAGGATATCATGGCACACGAACTCAAAGGGGGTGAGGATGGGTATGGAGTCTCACCTTGGGCAGCCAACAGCAGCTTGATTGCACCTCCACCATCTCAACTTCGCCTCCGCCTCGAACGCACCCGGGACCGGACGTCCTCGTCCAGTCCTGCCTTGACGCCCCGGTATTTGGAGCGGAACTTGCCCGGATCGACGGCTTCTTCGCGCTCGGCCTTCAAGCCCAGGAGTCCTCGGCGTCGGACGCCGCGGCGCTGAGGTGGCGCGGGGAGGGAGCCGAGCTAGGAGCCGAGGGCTCAGGTTGAGGAGCTGAGGGCTGAAAGCGCATGGCAAAGCCAGAGGCTAGCCGGCTAGCCCGTGTTGACGCATCTTCTATCCAACACGGATCTTTCGGAAAGATGCGATGATTTGGGGGGAATCAATCGTGAACACGCCGAAAGTCGCAGTCCAATCAAAAATCACCTCCTGGGAAACACATGACAGAATTTGGCTGAACGTGACTGGACTATATTCTAAACAGCAGCTCACATGAGTTCAGAAGTGCTCGTCGCATTTTCCCACTTCTTCTCCATGAAAGAGTCATTTTTCTCAAATTGGGCGTGACTAGTGGCTAATCGTGTCACTCACTCTCGAATTCCAGAGCTAGCTGTCAGGGTTGTTGAACTCCCTTGGTTGCTGTTTTGATTCATGTTGATCCATTTTCCCCTCCATCAAGCCTGTAGACCCTGTAGACCTGTAGACCTTCGCCGCGATACCAATCTGCTGCCGCCTAGAGGCCTTTTCGAAGCTGCTCGGTTTGCTCCTCAATGGCCCATCTGGCAAGCAACTCAACGATGTGGTGCTTCACCACTTGCTGCTTGTCCTTGGCAGCGGCAAGGACAAGGGAAACTTAATCGTTTCTTAACAATTTGCCACCTTTTCATTGAAAAAACTATCAAGATATTATGCGCACGCTGCGTGTGTGCATAAACATGCATAAACCGCGGACATCAAGAACTCCCAAATGCAGCGCGCGCATTTCAGTGGGAGGGCGCGCGCGCGCACGCATAAACCAATTGCATCTGCACGTGCACATGCGCAATCCCGAGCACCTACTTAAAAAGCCTCCCCAACTAAAAACCACCACGTCCGAAGCCCTAAATTCGGCTTATATTTTTTTTTTAAGCTACCACCCTTTCAAGCCGCTACTAAACTACCAACATGGTCGAGTTTGGTGGTAATTTCTTTTTTTAGGTTCCAAAAACAACCGTCCACATCTGTCCGCCCTTTGTATCCACCATGACACGCCGCGTTTACACCAGCAAATGTTCCTTCCTCCAATGGCACGGACTCACGCAAACGCACTTGCCACCGAGGTCGTGCAAAACCGCATGGCACAGCGACATCACCTTTCGAAAGCTTTGGTTGTTGGTCTAATGAAGAATCAGTATTCTAATAAAGGTCTTTGTAGGGGAAAAGGAAGACCCCTCGATCTGGGAGGTTTTTTGAATTCTTGTAAAGGATTATGTGTATATATATAAGTATATATAAATCTATTACCCTATTTTGGCCCCCCCGATTTCAGGGACCCCCTATTTATTAGAAAAACTGCGGCCGAGTTTCTCTTATTAAGGGGGGGCGTGTTTTTTAATAGGTGGACAGGATTATATCTGGTGAATCTAGTGTTCACATTTGAAGGCCGTCACGTCGAGCATCCAGGGCTTGCAAACGACAAGCTTGCAAGAATGCTTTCTCCCGCTGGCTCTTCTTGATGAAGTCCAGAAACCTGAAAAAGCTCCGGTTCAGGAGCCCGGCAGGCGGCGCGCGGAGCGCCAAAATGTACCTGCCTATGATTGGCAATCTTCAGGACCACGCATCGGTCATCAGTCCCTGAGATTGAAAGCTCTGGGGTGTGGAAAGCAATACTTGATCTTCACAAGGTCCAGCACCACCCACTTGGGTGCTTTCGCAATCCCAACGAGTGGACGGTGCTGTTTCTGTGATCCTCGCCTTTCAGCTCGGCGGCCCGGATCCGGAAGCGCTGGAGCTGCAAGCGGTAATTCCTCGCACGGGAGCGTAGACCCTAGACGGCCACTAACTCTAGAAGAGAAAAACAAATCCAGCATGGCAATTCGCGCGGCGGAACGCAAGAACATGGCGGAAGCCGAAGCATCGAGCCGCCGAGAAATCAACAGCACAAACGAGTCTGAACGAGCCAATGTAGGAGGGTGCCCCCGGTAGGTCAAGTATCCAAGCATGCATTCTTGCTTGTGTCTTGCTTCTGTGGCCTTTTTGGATTGTATGCTCCATGTACTTCGGTTGATGGAAGCAGGATGACATGTTGCGTCTTGTCATGTCTTGTCCATCTTCCCAACATGTCCCAACTGTCCAGGTGTGTGTATTCCAAGACCCCCAAGCACCAAACATCGACTTTGTTGCGAACACCCGGGTGGGGGCCACCACATGTGGCCACCAGGAGAAAAGGGGTCCAAACGGATTGATCTCACTTGGAATCGGGAGACCGTCCTTTAAAACGGACACTTAGCATACAGCTTATTAATACTGTATATACCTGGGAAGGGGGGGACGAAGGCCAGCAGCCGCCAGATGAGTGTCTCTTTTTCTGGCGGGCGTCGCGGCACAAGAAACATGGTCGGCAGCTTGCGGGTCAGCGGTGCCGCGGACGCGGGGGGGGGGGATGTAATGGTGATTGAGGGAGCAGAGAAGCAAGCCGGGCGGCTTTGGGATGAGTGTGGTATGAAAGAAGTAGTGAAAGAGAAATGCGGTACGTTGTATGTTGGTGTAGGTCATCATCACTCACAAGGCAAAGGCATGTGTTTGTCACACGCAGGAAGGCATGTATCTTATGGAAGTTGGAAGGCGACATCAGCCTCAGCGAAGGGGAAATACCGTCTGAGTTCGAGTGGTGGGATACCGCGCGCCGCGCGCGCGCAGGAAGACCTTCGAGAGTAAGCGCGAGTACGGCATGCGTTTGATTTGAAAAGAAGCAATTATGTAATTATGTGTTTGTTACATTTGGAGTGTTTCAAGTTTGCAATGCATGCTGCGGCGCGTCGAAAAGCGGCCTTCGTTGACTTGGAAGAGTGAACGGGCACGTCTTAGCCGGGACACGGACGTGTGATCCCACGGCGCAGAAAGAGAGGTCCAGCAGGAGTAGCTTGGGCTAGCAAAGGGGTGAGGATTTGTGCGCCTATCGATGCACATGCCTGGACTTGAGTGAGTCATGTTCTGGCCCAATCCTTTCAACGGGCCTCTATTAAACGATCCAAGCACATTCTTTATTCTTCTCTTTCTTGTCAACTTTGCGCCTTTCTCACTCAGAGGCCTTGACTTTGGCACCTGCGTGTGTAGATCGTTGGGCCGTGGACCCAGGCTAACTGGATTCGGCCAGCATAAAGGCGACGTCATGAGTCAGTAGTATATAGAATTTATCTATCTCTCTCTCAACACCCTCCCCCCCCCCCCCCCCCCCCCTTAACTCACTTTGTTCGCTCTAAAAGCTCAAGCCTAGCCTATCGGCTGGCTTTCGTAATATATATATATATGTGTGTGTGTGTGTATGAGTTTGTCTATACTGTATATCTAAGTTACAATGCATATCCGCCACAGCAAGAGAAGGCCGTAGTATGCAAATTCATCCAGCGAGGCTTGCAAGCTTGGTCAGCGGGGTTCTGAAGCTGAAAAAGGCCTCGTTGGGGTGATCACCTCTCAGGGCCGCACGTCGAGGAAGCTGCACCTTCTAAAGCTTTCATCCAAACCTTTCCCAGCCTCAGCTGAGCGCATCTAGGCGCCAGATGGACGAAGCTGGCCACCAAAAATAACTCAAAATACGTAAATGGATCTAAATTGGTGCCTGGCTCTGGCCCCAAAACCCTATGTACAAGCCGCGGTGAGCCGAAAAATAGCCGAAAGATGCCGAAAGCCCCTTGAACATCACCCCTGCCAAAAAGCATCAGGCGCTCGTGGCCCCAGATTGCATCTTCTTGCAAGCTGAAGAGAACCTCCATGCGCCCACACCGAAAACGAGCGAGGACCCGGAGACGGGTCGACAATTCTCTGCCACAGCATGCCACAGCCACATCCGACCTGCCTGGTCTGGCCACGACTTCTGCTTCGGTGGAATGAGTGGATTGAAGGTTTCGTAGTCCCACTTGACCTTCGAAGTGAAATCCAACAAAGGGAGTTGGAAGGTGATGTTTGTTGAAAGGAATGTAGACAAGAGTGTTGTTAGGCCAAGAGCCCGATTTCAGTGGAAAGCAATCTATCATACTATAATATACTATATATATATATTTAGTGGAAATCTGCACGCAAATCTCATGCAATCAGGCTGCAGAGAAGAAGAGCTTGCCGGCCTTTTCCATCCTCGACTGAGGAACACGCCGCACCGATCTCACCAAGCTTTTTTGCAGCGTGTGTGGGCAGTCTGTGCACACACACACACACCATGCAGGCAAGCGGCAAATCAGAGTCTGAGCTGCTAATCATGTTCACCGAAGACTTGGGCCGGTAAAGGTCAGCTTTTCCCGTCCATCCATCCGTCCTCAGCAGCCCCACTGGCCTCCAAAAATGAAAAAATGATTGGTTGATGATGATGATGATGATGATGATGATGATGATGATCTCATCCGTCTTGCAAACCAGTTGCAGGTCATCCACCCGGAGCGTACAACTTCCGCAGAGGTCATCCGACTTGAAACTGTCGTAGTCCATGACCTCGGCCAATCGAAGGAGCGAATCGATCTCTCAACGTCGGAGTGACGTGTTTCCCCGTTTCCTTCAGGCCACCGGAAATACGATCCTCGACCAAGGATCGGTGAAAGTGATCTCTTCCTCCCCATTGAAGGTCAAAGTTCCATCATAGTTGAAGAATGGGTTGACCTGAGGGTAGAGACTGAAGGTTTAAAGTTCTAAAGTAGGAGTTAATTCTTATTCACTCGTACCTTGACTCCTTTTCTTGACCTGAGCTGGGTCTTCGCAGTAAAAGATCTTCGAACAGCGTCTTGCGCGCATTTGGAGCATCTGAAGCATCTCGGGTCGTTCCAAGTTGGGACCATCTCGGGCAAGGCGCTCCCACGTTCCACTGGACCTGACAAGGGAATTCCTCTTATGCCGAAAAAGCATAAAAGAAGGCACTGGGACGCTGCTGGATTTCTTCCGCCCAGGCACCGGAGTTTGAAAGCGCTTGTACTCGCCCAGCTTCACAATCACGTATGGATCCAGCTTGTCGAAAATAGAGTTTCCTGCCAATCGGCGGGAAACCGCGCCCGACGGAGGCCGTGCCGTTCGCCCGCTGTGTTTGGGCGGCGGCTACAGGACCAAGACCACCCAAAACATTGAAAAAAACATCAACAGATCAGTTCACCACAATCACTGCCACAATCCTGCAAGCTTTTCGGCTCTGTCGACCAGTACGTGAATCCGAGTCCGCTTGGGCGTTCGGGTCTCCGGCTTCTCGATGAGAGTCACCTCAAAAAGGCACAGGGCGAACGCCAGGGGTTCTCTATTTTGGGCTGTGGCTATTGGCCACCCCAGGCCAAGAGTGAACAACTCTAGACTGAATAGTCGTAATTAGCAGTAGTCATGGTCATAGTCAGTGTAGCCGTATCCATAGAAGAAGTCGTTTTCAGAGCAGATTGGTGGCACACATCAGTTTTGGAGTGCCCCGTATCCAAGCATCGGGCATCGGCTTGCACTTCTACTCCTCAGTATGGGACCCTCATCCTCAACGGAATGGAATATGTGGAACCATGTTGAACCTATCAGGCAACCCAACATGACTCTCCTTCTAATCATACACCACTCATCTCTTCTCCGAATTTATGTTAAAATATGATTGAATTTCTGAATTTGAATGACTGATTTACTTCGTTTGGCGAGCGCAACATATGCCACCTCTTCCAGGACCTTGCCACGGCATTCCAGTCTTGTCTTCTGCATAGGACTGAGACGAACTGAGCCCCGCACGACCTTCCTCAATGTAGAACACCTGAAGCTTTGTGGCTAGATTGCCAACGGAAGGGTGCCGCCACGTGTCATTCTTTCATGCAAAGACATGCTGGACAACATCCAGGACACGCTTTCATCGATGGATTCAGTGGTGAAAATGGGCTCGGCAGGAAGGAGGTGGAGCACAGAGATTGACTTTGCCATCTCATCCAACCTCATTGCATTCTCAGAACGTCATTTTCAGGGGAACATTTCTCGGATGTTTTGTTTAGGAAAATTAGGAAAATGGTCTCCGAACACGTCGGTTTCCTGGATCTTGTTTAGAACATATTTTCTGAACACGCCTCTCTCCTCTGAAAAGGTCTTGTCTGAAAAACGTCATAGCACTGAAGGCTTGACATTCGTCCTGCAGATTTTGTCGCCAAGATGCCCTGACCGGACAGCGCTCGAAATGGACTCAAAGACCTCGACCCTCTGTGCAGCTGACCTCGCCATGTCGTCCCGAGCACGTCCCGAGCCACCCGTTTCGGACAGAGGCGGCCTGTGGCCCACTGAAAACTCACGCCACGCACACTGCTGCCGACAAACTCGATTGTTGTGCGTGGTCAAGGGCATCACACAAGGTGAAGCGCCCCAACACCATGGTCCCGCATGGTCTCGCATGGTCCCGGGTCCCACGATGTTCCATGTTCATGTCTCAGTTCACCTCCGGAACATCTCCTGTCCTCTGGGGAATTGGACGAATCAATGGCCCAAATGAAGTCTCCTGTCCTTACAAGCTACTCCATTCCTTCGAAAATGGATGAACATCGCGAAGCGCTCGAAGAACACAGAGCCCCCGAACCGTTGTTAAGACATGTTAAAACGACCCCATCGGTTCCGTCTGTCTTGGCCCAAGAGACAGGTGCTCCAATTCCACCTTCGGCTTCGAAGGATCTGGCTCTGGCCTCGACCGCACGTTCACACCGGTGAACGGGGCCGGGGAGCCGAAGGGTCCCTTTTTGAACGGCGCCTGACTCTTGAGGATCTTCTTGACCGTAGCTTTATGGACCATACGACCCGAGTAGCTTGAAAAGAATCTGAACATGTCTGAAGCCCCCAGACTTCGAGGGATCCCAGAACCGAACCCCGGCGAGCGGATCTAGGTTGCACTTGGTGACAGGATCATTGACATCCTCGTGGACCGAGTTGATCGTATCAGAGTACAAGAACCGGGCGGCTCGGAATTGGCCAAAGAGGATGAAGAAAAACACATCTGGCCTCCATCGTTGGAACTCATCTGCTTCTGAGAGCACTCTACAAGGGCCAATCCTCCAGTGCTTTCACCCCTGAACCGCCCTGCGTTTCGCTAAGTGAGGGTGATCACTTCTGCATCCCCCCCCCAAAAGAAAAGAAGAACTCAGCTCTTCACCTGCTTTCACTTCTGCTTCTGACCACCGTGTCTCTCTGCAACTCCGATTCCAACCACTCCGCCGGGGCCGTGGCTCGCATCGAGCGCTTCGCGCGCTTCGCGCGCTTCGCGCTTCAGATCCCAGGCGCAAGACCGCTCGTTGCAGAGCGGGCGAGTGGCGGATCTTTTGGGCGATGCGGGGATTGCCATAGACGCGATCGGCAAAGGCCGCCTGGGCGAAGCCAACGGAAGCCGACGGTGACCGCATGGGTGGATGTGGGTGGAAGCTGAACTGGACTAGAAGGACCCACTGACTCAGGCAGACTATTCTCGGTAGACTTGGTAGACCTCTTACAATGAAGTAAAACAATTCTCTTCGATACAGTGTCCATGAATTCCAATGGTTTTCAGTGCACATCTTGATCTGTAGGAGGGTAGCGGATGAATTGATTCCATGATGTCTGGAAATTGGAAGATCTCCCTTTGATGCCGCACGTTTTGCACTAGAAACAGGTGCCACGCTAGTAGTAACAGGTGCCTTACTAGTAGTAACAAGCTACGTCCACCACCCGGAAGCACCCGCGATGGACCGAGTTGGCCTCCAAGACCTCCGTGGTCAGGATCCCCACGATGGATGGCTCCTCACAATGGGCCGCTCCGCCCAAGGCGTCATTGATTTCTTCGTCGCCCATCCTGGAGACATGGAAGCGATGATGGGCCGTGTATGTTGTGGAGGTACGTCCAAGAGACTTGGCAGTCAAATAGATTCAAATTAGCGGACCATGGTGGTGGTCCTGTGTTTACTGGTGGGGAGGCCAGGGAAGGATGATATCGTCGAAACTCAAGCTGGCAGGGAAACTTGAGGCCAGGTCGGGTTGAACGAAAGCTAAGGCAAGCGGTTGCTAAAGCAAGAAGAAAACTTAACTAGCCTTAGCCAACACTAGCTTTCATGATGACTTGAATCTGATTCTGTGAGCCAAAATCTACGTTGGTAAAAACCAACCAATCCTTTGCACCAAAAAAGATGCAAAAAAAAAGTAAAAAACATTGCCTCAGTCAGTTCCAAGTTGTTCGGCGCCTGCCTGAAAGGCTGTTCGCCAAAGATCGAACCAGGCATCATCTCCAGAAATTCTCCCAAGCCGTTCGAATCGCGGAAAATGTGCACCCGACCTCGGGACATCGAATTCCGTCCATCGACATTCCAACAGATCGGGCGGAGGACCGGGTGCATGGGGACATCGGAAAAAAACACGGTGCAATATGTATGTGTAATATATATATATATATGTGTGTGTGTGTGTATTACGTACAGTAGCTAGTCACTCGTACAGCACATAGATCTTCAAAGGAGTGGCATCTGTCATCTGTCAAAGCAACGTTCATCACACGAACAATGGTGCTTCAATCATGTTCGATCATGCATCATGGCTCAAAGCTCACCATCCCGATCGAAAGTTCGCGGAAAAATAAAAAAACGTGCATCATAAGTTCATGTCCCATGTTTTCCCCCTCTTCCTGGCCCCATCTTCCTGCCCAGGGCACCGGTCAACAACATGAAGGACCTCAAGCCCTCCGTCGGAGGCCAGTCCGCCTTCAAGCGCTCGCTGCCGAAGAGCCAGCGCCCCACCGAGAGCCTGGCGGGCCCGGTCAAAACTCGAGGGACCATGGGCCCATGCCGGGGGCGGGGGGGCGTCGCTGTCCACCCGGAAAAAGACATTGAAAAACCAGGGAGGTGAGCAGCTGAAGTGGTTTGGGTCAGAGAAGGCTCGCTTCGAGTTTGTGGTTGTGGAGAAGAACCGGGGAAAATTCTGTTCAGGTGCATTCTGGAGACAGTTGGATCAAAACACGTCATGTGAAACTCGATCTACTATAGCCCATCTAGCAAGCTCGAATCCGGTTCTTATTCCAACATTTATGATTAGCTGTACCACAAACATGCATCTTGCCGGATCTGAATTGAAGCTTCGAATCCTGTTGGCAGAACGGCGCGGAAGCGCCTGAGGAAAGGCATGGTTCGCAGAAACCTTCGTTTGCGACGCTCGTCTCCGGTCCGAGGAATCGGGTCGAACTCCTGAGTTCCCGTGCCGATCCAACTGACGATCATCCAGTCGCTGGAACAGGAGAGGGTGGATGTGGCGGATTTCTTTGGCCACCACCTGCGACACAGCGAGGTGATCAGGGGCATGCGGCATGCCGAGGTCGTTGGTCCGATGATTCGAGGTCTTCCATGCTTTGCGACTCGTCGCAGCTTCAGTTTTTTCTGTTCCATCGCAGAAACTGCGAGGCTTTGGCACTCTGACCCATGGAGGGCAAAGGCTCAAGGCATGGGGGCTCTATGCTCTGCTATTCCAGTCCGGCAGGTCCATCCACAAAAGTGGAAGAACCCCACGGTTCGGCTATGCCAGGCCCGGTTTTCCAGGGTGACGGGTCTTAGTTCAGGTCACTTAGATCTTAATAAGTAGACACCCCAGTAACGACCCCAGTAAGAATCCAACAAGTAGGGTCTTAGTTCAGGTCTAACCTCTGGGACACGGGACCCGAAAGGCCTTTTCCAGCGCCCGCGTGTCCGTGCTGAGCTTCTGCGGCACGCGCCGGCCACCTGGAGCGTGGAGTCAGCTCTGAGCCCAAACCGGAAGGATGTACCATAAAAGTAAAGAAACATGGTCCAACCTCTAAAAAATGAAAGCCTTACAAACAAACAAACAAAAAACACTTGCAAGAGAAGAGGAACAAACATAAAGGATCCATGGTTCACAGGCACAATTTCCATCGGGATCATTTCTCTGCTTCGCTGATGTTCACTTGGACTAGTGGGGGCCACTGGCCCACCAATCTGTTTCTGGCCCATGGCTAAGGCTCCTGCGCTTTTCGGTGGCCAGCACCAGCTGTCGGCACCTCAAAGGGCGGTTGGAAGGGCTTTAACAAAAGGGCTTCAACCGGGCAGGGGGGGTTCCTGTCCGTCGCTTCAACGGAAGCAGCGATGGGGCTGCGCTTGAGCAGCGCACGCGGATGAACTCAGAGCCAGGCCGATAGTACAAGGGCAGCACTCGCCCCAGGGAATTGGGCCACCCCTCGGTTCTCTGCCACCACTACTGCGCCCCAAAAAGAGAGATCTCCTTGAGACATCTCAAGACATCCGGTACAAGAAACACATAGAAGCACCATGAAACACCAATGCTTCTGCATTGAGGTTTCGTTTTTTCCCCCTGAACTCAGTCCATGACATCCTTGCTTCCCTCGTATGCCTTAGAAGGCTTGGCTGTAGGGCGGCCGGTCATGGTCGAACTCAGGCCGGCCCACCACCCAATGATGCCACTCGATAGTGTCTATACGCAAAAAGTGATGAACATATTTTGAGCCCTGCAGTTTGGACAAGAAAACCAGGAATCACCCTATTAAAACATCTTTCTTTTTGCACCCCGGTGCGATGTGCCCGAAGGTGCCCAGCAGACGGTGCCCAGGATTTCTCCAAGGTGCCCGTTTGTTCATGCCCGGGCGGCCTGGCCATGGCTGATTCGTCTGAAGTGCACCTCGAGCAGCGCAGTGTAAAAACTTAGTGGTTATCCGTCAAAATGATGTGTTGTTTCCAAATCATACATATATATATATATGTGTGTGTGTGTGTAAAAGGATTCTTCAAGGTGAAATGTCTTCAAAGGGCTGTGATAAACAAACGATGCTAGCCTAAACCAAAAAAGGCTACGCAGCAACAAACGGCGTCGTTATCAATTAGAACCACCATAGGTATCAATCAGACCAGCATCATTTGGTGGTGGATTTTGTTCAATGTCATCCTGGAATGGCACCTCCTTGGCAGATCACGGAGAAAAAAAAGTGAGCGCGTTCATGAAACAGAACATGTAGTCTCGTTGTAATTGAGTTAGTGACTGTCATACTGCAGCATGATCCGCACCAAGGTTGAAAGTTGCTACAGGGTCACTTGCGGCATCTGCGTGGCAATCCTTGAGGAGTTAGAGCAAATACAGGGAACAAGGTCAACTGACTTCAACCTGCGTGCCTGGAACCAAAAGGTAGCCGGCAAGGCACATGGGGGCAGCTCAAGTTTCGCGAATATTCATTGGTGATTTCCCCCACTTGAAGGGCCACGGAAAAGAATCCCCCACTGTTCAGGGCTGTGCTTTTGGAAAAGTTGACATAATCAAAAAGGAGAATGGAAAATATAGTTACGTAGATAATTATATATATATAGGAGAATGGAAATATATAGATAATATATATATATTTACATGTACATCACATTGTAATATATATATATTTATATATTTATATGCAAATACACTGTTCAACCCCTCCACCAGCTTTGCTCATCCTATTCCAACACACCGCACCCAAGTGAAATTGCTCAAAAAGCTCAACCCTCAAGACCGTTTTTCCCCCCAACTGGAGAGGAGGGAGACACGAAAGGTAGGACAGCGGGAAGAGAAGAGAACGCGAGAGGCAGGAACAAAATGCAATGTTCGACATGGTGATTTATCCCCTCGGAGGCGACCTTTCGTAAATATAATTGCATGCGCACTCTAAATGTTCCAACATATGCTCTCGAAATGTTCAAAAAGATTCGTAGGAAAACTAGACGACGAGTGGCCCGAAAGCGTTTTTCATCACGTAGGAAGTCAGAGTGTGAGTTACCTGTTAAGTGTTCAGTGTGAAGTGTTAAGTCGAGTGAGTTGAGGCAGTGTGTCTGTGTGTGTGTGTGTGTCCGAGTAAGTTGAGGCAGTGCGTGGGTCTCTGTGTGTGATGTGTGTGTGTGTATGAGTCCCTGTCTGTGTGTGCGTCTATGTCTGCTGCTGGTGAAGGTCTTCACTGTAGATATAGTGAACGATATTTACGAGAAGCTTATGGGGTGTGTTGAAACTTCTTGCAAGTACATTCTCCATTGCTGTTGCCTTGCTTTATGTTGCTGGCTACGATCTGGTGCTAGCTGGCCCAAGTTCTATGGAGACTTGTGCAATCTCACTTTGAGCACCAAAAGGTAAGCTATGCAAAATGCACAAATGCATGGCAACCACACCGCTCTCCAGGTAACGTTTTCTTCACTTGAGATGTAGTTCACCAACCACTATACTGGTCATTTTCTCATCGACTGTCCCAAAAAACAAAAACGTGCCCAAGTAGCTTCAGGTGACACGCAGCAGCCATTGCCTATATCTTCGCGTGCTCTCTCTGCTCAGCTCGCGACTAGCCTGTGTATACGGAAAAGGTTTCCCGAAAATATGTCTAGCAACGTCCTTGTTGTCCTTCCGCCGAACGACGTCCGGCTTGAACGACTCGGTGTCACTCCAGGTCTAATGTGAGTTTTTAAGTGTGACGTGTTCAGTCTAGTGTGTCGAGTCCGTGTGTGGGTCTCTGTGTGTGTGTGTGTCAAACCCTGCTCCTAAGGGCTTTCCACTTCTGAATTGTTTTCAAGCAGGGGGCAATGCACGACTGATAGACATTGCCCAACGAAGATGCTGTCAGTTCGCGGTGAAGCAATGCGCGACGCCGCATTGTGTACCTGCTCAATGAACTTTTGCACACGCTGTCCACTCCTTTGGTTTGTTTCATGGTGTTTCATGTGTTCCTTCCCCAAAACAGGTTTCCCACCGCAATTTTCAATCGCTCGTGAGCTGCAGCCACCGCGCGAGAGTTTGCCAGCTGAGTACAACAATTGTTCAACCTTTCAAGTGACCTGACTTTCTCGCCTTGCTGTTCCCTCACCTTTTTCCACGTGGGAATCGATTAACTGAAAACCAATATCAGAGTGTGAACCGCTCAGCCGTCCCACTTGGGTGCTGGGTGTGATCCCCGTCACTGGGGCGCTGAAGCCATGCTGGAACTCGTGTAACGGATTTTTCAGATGCTTCATTCCTTGGATTTTCTTAACTAACTCCTTTTCACCACTGGATCAACTGCTTCAAGAGCCGCCGGGCTTGCACGGATAGAACCATTTGAATTCAACAGCCGCCGGGCTTGTACGGAGAATGGACACGGCCGCGGTTTCTACCCCAAACACCCCAACCCCTCCCACCCACTAATTAGGGTAACAGAGGGAAATGGTACTCGGCACACTTGTGTGTCGGTGCCTTTCCCTCTGTTGTCCCTTTTCTAGTCTTCTCTACCCGGGCAGTCTAGGACTAAAGTCCCGCTCCCTAACTATTGCACTTAATTCACTTCCGCTAAGAAATCAGTAACCCTAGAGTGCTAAGTATTCATACACACACACAGACACACACATGTACATACACCTCCCTGCCCTCCACTTTCTTTCTTGCGCTTTTGGTCGTTTCTTGGGCTTTCTCTCAGGCTTTTTAGGTTGCTCTTGAGGCTCGTTTCCCTACCCCAGTCAAGGGCTAAGTATTCACTTTCTTCTACTCCTACCTTTCTCTCTTGCCCTCTTAGCGCTGCTCTTTCTGTGTTTCTTTCTTTTGTTTCTAAGGCTTTTTAGGTAACTATTCGGGTCCTTCGCACGAGCGCCGCAAAGCGGCACCGTGTGTGTGTGTGTGTGTCAAACCCTGTTCCTAAGGGCTTTCCACTTCTGATTTGTTTTCAAGCAGGGGGTAATGCACGACTGACAGACATTGCCCAACGAAAACGCTGTCAGTTCGTGGTGAAGCAATGCGGGACGCCGCATTGTGTACCTGCTCAATGAACTTTTGCACACGCTGTCCACTCCTTGTCCTTTGGTTTGCTTCATGGTGTTTCATGTGTTCCTTCCCCAAAACAGGTTTCCCGCCGCAATTTTCAATCGCTCATGAGCTGCAGCCGCCGCGCGAGAGTTTGCCAGCTGAGTACAACAATTGTTCAACCTTTCAAGTGACCTGACTTTCTCGCCTTGCTGTTCCCTCACCTTTTTCCACGTGGGAATTGATTAACTGAAACCTGTGTCTAAGTGTGTATCTGCGTCTGTGTCTCTGCACAGGCGAGGGGCTGTAGACGTCCATGCGCAGATGACACGGCAGCACAACAGTCTGGCGCAGGAGCGCCCACCTCTCTCGCTGCGTCCGCGCAACGCTGAATAGGTCCACCACACACTGTTCGCAGTGACAGTGTGGATGCGCAGGTGCGACATACATGTCACGAAGAAAGGGCAATTGCCCTGGATTTGGTCACTGGGCTCCACCGCATTCCAATGCACAAGATTGAGTTCTTGCAGACCAACGTTTCTGCCAAATTTAAAGATGGATCCTGTCTTGAGGAGTGCGTGTGTCAAATAGATTTGGGGGAGCTCGATCCAAGCACGCACCTGTATTTTGTGCTGAAAGCACAAGATTGAGTTCTTGCAGACCAACGTTTCTGCCAAATTTAAAGATGGGTCCTGTCTTGAGGAGTGCGTGTGTCAAATAGATTTGGGGGAGCTTGATCCCAGCACGCGCCCGAATTTTGTGCTGAAACTCACGCGGGCCGGTCGCAGCGACCTCTATTGGACTCTCGACCACGCACGATCTCCGCAGAGGGTTGCGCGCACACCGGACAGATCGCACTCTC